TTTTTTTTTTTTTTTTTTTTTTTTTTTTTTTTTTTTTTTTTATAAATAAATTTTTCGATAATTTGATAACTAGTTTGATTTTCGAATTATTTTGGAAATTAAGATCGACAGGCATATTTTATCATCGAACCTTTGTATCCTTTTCTTTTCCAAATATCTAACGGCATATTATTACAAAAATCGATATAGAAAGCTAGTCAGCTACGCTCGAATTCTAGGCGCATTTTCCTATTACCTTTCCTGTTTTTATTATTTCTACAGATTTTCTACAGACACTCAGTAGGACACAACTATTAGCGCTATCAGTATATTCTGTTACCAGTATTACTCTCCTACTATTTTTATTAGATTATTCATTCGAATAAGGTCGCACAAAGCTTCATAGAGGAACGTTAGAGAATTTGAATAATTTATATACCTGGTACAATGGAATTAACAACATATTTATATTAATTATAGCGTTTTAATATCGTTATAATAATTCTAACATAGTAAAGAAAACATTTTCATGTTATTAACGAAACTTATCTTTTCTCGCTTTTTGTTTTGATGTTCGTACACAATAATTTTTTTTTTTTTTTTCGTATTATGATACTTTTTAAATTATTTAAACGCATTAATCATTTCGAGATTTCTTTGATTGATTTTACTCTGTATCATCCTTTGTTACATAATTTGCATTTTATTCATATTTTAATTCAACAAATTTATTTTTGAATAAATAAGATAAAGAGGATTGTAAAAGATTTTCCAATAAAAAGTAAATATAAAATAATATTATAATTATAGAAGATTAAATTCAAAAGAAGGGTTAAAAATTCGGAAAATTCTATTTTTGATAACATTTTGTTGGTACTTTCATAATTATTATTATGCTATTATTATTGTTATTACCATTATAATTAACAGTACTAACGCTATTATTAACAATATTGCTATATTTGTTGTCTAACAATACTACTTATACTTACAATAATATTATTCTTATTAATATCATCTTAATGGTTTATTATTGTTTGTCAACTTTAATTTCTAATTACAAAAGTACTAATGATATTTAATGAAACTATACATATAACGTTTCACTAACTTCATTAGAAAATTAATTAATTTTAACTTCATTAAAAAAAAATCTTTAAAAATATTTGGAAAAATATAAAAGAAATTTTATAAAAAATAGAATTTTAATTAAATTTTGTATATTATGTATATATTATACAAAAATATTTCATTTATATAAATATTGTTAAAGTAAACAATAAAAAATAGAAAAAGAAATCAAAAGAAAAATAGAAAAGAAAAAACAGAGAAAGGAAAAACGCACCAGTTAATATATGCTCATATCAATATAGAACTTAGTGAAACGTCATAAATAAATACATACTTTTCAAACCAAAATATTAATATTATCTCCGTAAAATATTCAATACAAAATAATATTTTTCCATAAAAATATTATTTCGTATTTACATTGTAAATAATATTGTTCATTGATTTTTAACAAGGACCAGAATTCGTTATTGAACGTAGAAAAACATGTGAAAAGAGGAATGGCTTCATTTTCAGGAATTCTAATACTACTATTAACATAGAGCGCGCTATTTCTAGTATCGTCAATGTCATCCACTAACATTACCATCATCGGATAAATCATCGTCATCATCACTATTGCCACTGCTACTATCGCTCCGTTTCTTTTGGAACTAATCCTTTCCTTCCTTTCGAGTGATCTACGAATATTTAATGCAATGCAGAAAATACGAAATCGTATTGTTACAACGATATCTATCTTTATATTTTCGAATTCCATTGGCTGAGAGAGAGAGAGAAGGATTAACCGCATGGAATTTCTTTGAGGATATATTCGTCTTGTTTCTACATTACCAACGTGTGAAGGGAAACTGCTAATATTCCTACGATCGTCG